CGTTACTTTAATAGGACTTCCTTATGATAAAATGATCTACAAAAATCAGCCAATCATAATAAAGCCCGCTATGCTTATTCAAGCGAATAAAGAATATCAGAATCAAGCCATGTTGGTTCAAATAGAAGAGTTCAGGCATTCAGGCGCACTTTTAGAGGATAACGAAGATCGTAATAACATTAAATCTCTGTTTCAAAACGAACCTGTATAAAAAAACAATCATGGAGATGAAATTAAAGTTGAAAAGGGCCAACCTAAGGCACCTGTCTATTACCAAAAATCAACAGGCATTGACCACGAATTGAATATTCTTGATGATAGTTTTTGTGATATTACTGAAGTGGAAGTGGATGAATATAAGGCATCAGTGATTATCAGGAACTTGCCGCTACAGATTGTACCGACAATGAAGTTAACATTGGACCCTGCTATCAGAATGAGGCTAATGTTAAAAAGGAAGAACCTAAATTACTTGTCTATGGTCAAAAATCTGCAGAGATAGAGGATGGAATTGTTGAAGCCAATGCGGCCGAAAAAAAGGAACATGAAGCCTTCGTTAAGCACTAGAAACTATGTGAGACGGAGCCCATTAATGAAACATACGAGAAATCAGCCAAAGATATCCAGGAAGAATTAGAACATTCTTCAAATTTTGCTGAAGATAACGACTTGAATGGACAAAACATTCTTGGATAGTACTACCAAGACGATAGAGGTACAATCGAAGAAAATTCGGATATAAAAACCTTGAGTGAAAATGATTGTGATACGTTAGTTGGTGGTAACGGCAATGATAAAAAAAAGGTGAAACGTGATCTACCTGAAAGACTCTTGGAAAAAGAAACCTTGCAAAGGGAATGCGAAAATTGGATAGAGAAAGTTAGTAAATTCTGGATGGTTATACGCTTAGTAAAAAGACCCACCAAAATCGAACCTACCGAAGGAACACTTAAAGAGATCGATGCCAAAAGGATGAATTACGTGGATGGTACTTGAAATGTGCTGTAGATGGTAAGTTAGATGGACAATTGATCCTGGAGGATATTACGAGCGAAATAAAAAAGGTCTTGATAAGGTTTGCAAGTCCTGAAGTAAAAGGGGTAATGAGTTCAAAAGAATAGGCAAAAACGACCAAAGAGAAATAAGAACCCCATACCTGATTGATTCTAAGAAACCCTCACAATTTGCTGATATGAGTCATATGCTTGATTCTTGTGACAATGATGGAACCAGGTTTGAAAAGAAAGAATGTAAGATGCTTAGATGTTACCAGGAGCCTGACGAAACGAATGATGAAATGACAGATGAGGATGAAGATGATAAAGAAATATTAGTTGACGACGATAATTGGGATGAGAAAGTAAATGGTGTTCTACCTGAAAGACCCTTAGAAAAAGATGCCCTACATCGTAAATGTGAGGAATGGTTGAAAAAAGTTAGTAAATTTCAGATGACTACGTGCAAGAAAAAAGAGCCAAACGAAATGAAACTTACCGAAGACACGATTAATCAGATTTATGTTAAAAGAGATGAATTACATGTACCATATAGAGCAAGTGCTGAATGTGGTAAATTAGATGAACGATTTGACCCAGGAAGCAATTGTAGTCGAAATGGAAAAGGTTTAGTTGTGATGAATGTTGAATTAAAGGAAGATAAATGAGGAATGTTAGTTGGCAACAATAGCAATGATGATAAAAGAATCACATGCCAATTGAAAAATAATGAAAACAAACCTGAGAAGAGAATGCCATTCAGAATTGGTTCAGTAAAAATTGCCGTAGTAACGATATCAGCATGTGATCTTGTCAATTTGGTCTTCGATCCTGGAGAACACCGAAGGATGGAATAGAACTGGATTAGTATAGTGAAGAAAAAACCACAAAACAACTTTTATTAGTACTATTCGAATTACAATGGAACCAAATGAAATCACAATTACTTAGCTGCTGAGGAACAATTGGGATTTTCAAAGTGTGAACGATTATTTCGAATCTGGATCACATGATTGCATGAAATGAAAAAAAAAAAAAAAAAACATTTAATAGTAATGCTAATAACATTAGTTCGGACTACACGTGACAATGAAAAATGGAATTATAATAACTTAACTAATGATATACAGTTAGAACTTGCAAATGGTGGATAATCAACTTGAATCAAAGTCATGTGAATGAACGCTTAAAAAAAAAAAAAAAAAAAAAAAAAAAAAAAAAAAAAAAACATTTTTTTGTTTGTATGCGGATTCGCAGGAGCTCATCCTTCAAACGGAGGAATATGTTACGGAACCGGGTCTCTATTGTGTAACGATTACATTTTTAATATGCAATTAGTTAGTAATATGTAGTAATTAGTAAAGATGCAGGAAATATGTAATTAGTAAACAATCTGTTATGCCGGAAGAGTTGACAGCATAGTAATTAGTGCATGCGCATAAGGAATGTAGTCATTAAATAGTCATTAGTGTAGTAATCG